TGGGAAAAACTGTGCCATTATGTGGTATGTTGCTCTAAACGGGGATGTTTACTATAATGAGGTTACCTGTTTGTCTTTAATCCACTCGACATGCAAGCTGTGCTGGTGTGTTTCTGTAGTAACTGCTCTGCTACAGGCTCGATACAATTTACCTAAAGAGCAGTCCTGAGACAGGACCTTTCATGACTTTGACGCAAGAAAATTCTTTAATTCTTTTATGTGCGGTTGGAAGCTTTTGTTCTTCACATTGATAATCATGGTTAGGCAGGTTGACATTATCTCATGGCTTGCACAGTTTGGTTTTAATTATATTATATTGTTTTATTGGGAATTTTAAACCCTGATTAAAGCCACTGTGGGAACGTTGGTATAGTCTATTCGCTTAATTCGGGGAAGGAGAATCATTGCCTAAATCATGTTGGCTGCAATATAGACTTCTAGGTCGGTTGGTCTGAATATTACACTACCTCATGGCTTGAACGTTATTTGTTTTAGTAGTATTTTATTCATTGGTGTTTAAACACTTGATCATAGGACCCTGAACTTCTAAATTTCAAGGATCTCAAATTTTGTAAAAATTTTGAGTTTACTTAGTTCATAATAATTTATCTTTCGATGCATTTAGAGTTTCAGTTTTTTTGTTTCAACTAGCTGGGGATATGTGGTACAACTCTGTATTCAAGGACTACTATATTATTTAAATTTTATGGATTTCATTAGTTTTAATATTTAACTGGGAAGGGGTAGCTTTGGGATTCGTCTTTTTAGTTTTTGTATTATGGAAATGACGCATTCAGTATTTAGCTTAAAGGCGTGTTCAATGTACCTTAATAATTTAGACTTCAACATTTAACTCTGGTAAACTGGCTAGCCAAATTCAGTTATTTAGTATTAATTAATGCTGTAAATTAAAGTATGAATGGTATTTCAGTGACTCTTGTACTATATAGAGGCTTTTGTTTTAATGAAAATAAGTACTTCAACATCTGGTAAACTGCTAGCGAATGGATTTCCTTAAACTAGGAGCTTTAAAAACACTGTGAAACACTATTTCATCGAAACCTTTTACAATAATTTGAGTTTATAGTTTCGTAGTTGAATAGGGATTATGGTTGGTAAGGTCAGCTGGGACTGGATACCTGCACCGGGAGCCTTTGAACAAGACCTGTGAAACACAGCATCACACGCAAACATAATTTAGGCAACAACTCAGGAGATTAACCCAGCGTCCCCGTGTGTGTGTGTGTGTGTGTGTGTGTGTGTGTGTGTGTGTGTGTGTGTACTCACCTAGTTGTACTCACCTAGTTGAGGTTGCGGGGGTCGAGTCCGAGCTCCTGGCCCCGCCTCTTCACTGATCGCTACTAGGTCACTCTCCCTGAGCCGTGAGCTTTATCGTACCTCTGCTTAAAGCTATGTATGGATCCTGCCTCCACTACATCGCTTCCCAAACTATTCCACTTACTGACTACTCTGTGGCTGAAGAAATACTTCCTAACATCCCTGTGATTCATCTGTGTCTTTAGCTTCCAACTGTGTCCCTTGTTACTGTGCCCAATCTCTGGAACATCCTGTTTTTGTCCACCTTGTCAATTCCTCTCAGTATTTTGTATGTCGTTATCATGTCCCCCCTATCTCTCCTGTCCCCCAGTGTCGTCAGGTTGATTTCCCTTAACCTCTCCTCGTAGGACATACCTCTTAGCTCTGGGACTAGTCTTGTTGCAAACCTTTGCACTTTCTCTAGTTTCTTTACGTGCTTGGCTAGGTGTGGGTTTCCAAACTGGTGCCGCATACTCCAATTGGGCCTAACGTATACGGTGTACAGGGTCCTGAACGATTCCTTATTAAGATGTGGGAAATGCTGTTCTGGGGGTTTGCTAGGCGCCCATATGCTGCAGCAGTTATTTGGTTGATGTGCGCTTCAGGAGATGTGCCTGGTGTTATACTCACCCCAAGATCTTTTTCCTTGAGTGAGGTTTGTAGTCTCTGACCCCCTAGGACTGTACTCCGTTTGCGGCTTCTTTGCCCTTCCCCAATCTTCATGACTTGCACTTGGTGGGATTGAACTCCAGGAGCCAATTGCTGGACCAGTTCTGCAGCCTTTTCCAGATCCCTTTGTAGTTCTGCCTGGTCTTCGATCGAGTGTATTCTTTCATCAAATTCACGTCATCTGCAAACAGGGACACCTCAGAGTCTATTTTCCTTCCGTCATGTCGTTCACAAATACCAGAAACAGCATGGTCCTGTGCTGTGTGTGTGTGTGTGTGTGTGTGTGTGTATGTGTGTGTGTGTGTATGGGGTTGTGTGTGTGTGTGTGTGTGTGTGTGTGTGTGTGTGTGTGTGTGTGTGTTGTGTTTTGTGTGTGTGTGTGTGTGTGTGTGTGTGTGTATGTGAAATCTGGCCAGGTTGGAGCCAAAGCTTGTGCCGCCACCTACCTCCATCAGAGTTGTCCTCGTGTAAATATGCAGTTGACGATTAACTGTACGCAAATTTATAATTATTTTGGATCAGTTAAATTAATATAACCTCACGTACTGTTATCAATATTTAATTTTGTTTGTTTGGACTGCTCAGAAACTGACGCAAGTAAACGTATTATAAACGGATAGTGTATTCTGAGGGCGGGTTGTGTAACAGCTTATGGTCCCCACATAACCCTCATCTTGATGTGTGCTGCCTCATAGTCTAACATGATCTACTTCACTTATAAATAAGAGTTCAACTCGTGCAATATTTATTCATCAGACATTGGTATACTTGGGTCACCGAAGTGTTATTTCTTACCACGTGGAACATTCTTAAGTGCTCAGGACCCCTACGAGTTTAGCGTTCTCCGTAAATGCAGTAATTAGTTGTTTACTTTTTTAATCACTCAAATCACGGAATCTGAGCGGTAAGCCAGGGGCACCACCTAACAGGGCATAATTATATGACTCGTATTAAGTGAGTCTAGCTGAGGAATGCATTAATTAACATCGCCATTATGAGCATTATCATGTTTGCCCAAGATACGAATTCCAGCAGGACTGGAGCTTCTAACAGATTTGTTTTAAAGGGCAAAGAGATGTCGATAAGTTGGTTGGTTGGTTAACGGGGTTTAAAGCCTATGGACTACACGAGCCAAGCATGCTATAATCACAAAATAGGGTTTAAGTTAAACCTTGAACATATATACGGTGAGAGAAAGACCTCTTGGCGTATATGTCCTGTGCCGGAAAGTAGGGTAGGACAGAGTTGTAGCAGAACGAACCTTCATTTGAACAACAGTGACTAAAAAGGTCAGATGTCAGTGAAAATTTGTTCATATAATAGCTTTGCTCTGCGGTAATTATCTTTGTTCTACACTAACACATTTTTTATTTCAATTTTCCTCAAGGAGGCGACACTCACAAATACTCAACTAATACCAGTATACCTAATTTTACTGCTAGGTCAGCAGAGATGTAAGGAAACTTGTATATACGTTTCGCCTAGCTTAGAGATGAAACACTGAAACCTTAGGTTATGTAGTGAACCCTCTGACGATTAAACTGTGATCTATACATATAAGAAGTGTTAATTTACACATGTACAATGATGCGGCTGGCATGAGTGAGCCAGAGCACAGACCAAGGCAAAGGGACTGCACAGCCTCAGCCACTAGACTCGTATATAAGGACCCCGCCACGCCATGCCTGGGAATATAGCGTACACCGAGAGAGATATCTCTCAAGAGGCCCAGAGAGGCCCCAGCCACTCCCAACTTTCCTGGCCTCCAGCCAGAAAAAGACATAAAACAAAATAAGACCACCATTAGCTAAGAAATAAGTGAAATATAACTTTAATATTTTTTATTTAATAAATGTTTTTCTTCTTTTTTATGTGCAAATGCATTAGTGATTGGCAAGAAGGTTTTTTTGTATATCACGCCATTCTTGGTGATTAAAACCCACAAATATGTGAAGACACACATACGATTATCAAGACATTAAGTCTAGTGAACTGAAGAAACCCCTGGACGAAACGTATCCTCAGTAAGTTTCTTTATAATGGCATACGTGTTTTTGTCTCACATTTTACCATGTCACATGGGAAGCCACTAAAACTCATCCCATAGTTGAACGGCTATACTTGTATAGTTGCTTCAAGAGACTGAAGGGGCCGGCGTTCACTTGAAGCCATTGACTCGTAAACTCGGAAAAATTTCGCAATACTAGTTTGATAGGAAATTCCCTAGAGAGTCCAAGTTCAAGTATTTCTCGAAGCCATTTTTTTTTTTGGGGCTTTCAGTCCAATTTAAAGTTCATAGAATATATTCGTTGAGAAAGATGACCGCGTCACCGACAAATTTTAAGATTTTTGTTGTCTTGTAGCTAAAATTATTCCTCTGCAGAAAGTATATTTTCATGACTTCTTCGGTTAAACTGCCAAAGAAATCCAAAGAGTACAAATTAGTCGCTAAGACAACTTGAGTTTTAAAACCCGTTTGAATAAGGGTCACTCATGACAAAGAAAACAACCCTATAATGGTGCTAGACATCCCGTTCAAATGGTAGTCGTAAGTTGCGTCTGGCGGAGAACTCAAGTGGATAATTCAGTATTCTGTGATGTTACTTTGCACTTATGAACGCATTCCATTGTTGACGAATCTGATAGTCTTCAATAATGCCAGCACTGCATACTTTAGTTATCTCATTAGTTTTGTGGATCACTTTAAGTAACTTTATTCCCCAAAATGACATTTGAATGCATTCAAAATTGGACATAGGCTTCTGAATCGACGACTAAAGCTCACTTTGATCCTGTGCAACGAGATTCGGAGGTTCAGTTTATGTCAGCAGACGAACAGCAAAATCATGATTTTTCAGCATCTCTTGAAATTTTTACTGAGAATTTCATGCATCATAGTTGATATAAACAATTGCGTTTTGCAAACATTACCCATATCAATATTTCTAGTATCAGTTTCAGTCAAAACTATATATTCATCATTCTTGCTCTTGCTGTACAAGATCTATACCTACCTGTTGTGTTGATGCTTTCCGAAGGAAATTACACTGATCATATGCTTCCATCTTGTCACTGTTGCACAGGCTTTTTGACTAATGCTTTCGTTTTCCAGATTGTTTTGTTGAATTTCTTGCCTGTTAATTGAGAGTGTTTTCAGGACATTGATTAAAAATTATGTTAACCGGCTCGAGGCATACTGTTGTTTCACTAGATTCGTTTGATGTATTTTGCTTGCGCCACTGTAAACTTCTTGTAGTGTGTTAATCGCAAAATGCGAAATGTGAGATTAAAAATATATGCAAATGATATAATATACTCTGAGTCAAGAGGAAATAAAATGTTGGAATTCCTCGTATGTCATACGCGGGTGTGTTTCAAAAAGCCCTAAATGGTATTCATAAACTCTTTGTGCCTTGTGTTATCATATTATTATGACTGTAGTATGCATATATATTTTCTTATACTGTTAATTGGTAATAATTGATCATAGGTTATAAAACACCAGTTATATCCATTGTGTGTTGAGAAAGTTTATTTTGGTGCTAGTTTAAAATAAATACCTTAAATTATTAAACTCGGCCTCCATGGATTACCTCAATTTATGATTTAATTGTAGCCTATTTTTTTTACAATAGCCTGTTAATTGTTGCTTTCTAGCCTACGCTGTGAGGACTGCTCTCCATACAACCCCACTTACCACCCTTGCTGCTGCTATTGCTGATCGCATCGACCGGATGAAAGCCTGTTGCACCTTCACCAGCCTCTCCTCCCTACCAGACAACCCCGGGCACTTCCAGAGGAGACCTCTCCATGTCAGCACGCTTCAACACCATCAAGGCCTTCATGATAGACATGCATTATCAGCCCGACAGCAGCTGAATTGACCCATTAATGTTGGCACATTTCCCCACACCACAAGCAGTCAAACCTTCACCTCAGTCAACATTCAGCAGCCAAGCCGCCTACGCCTGCTCATCCATCTTATAGGTATTATACCGTATTTCATGAAACGCCAAACCCATCTGGGTCAGTCAGCGCAAGGAAGGGTAGAGGCTGTTACCTACACATACGTACACTTGATTAAGCATGTATAGCATTATGAAAGTCGGCAAATGGCGACGTGTTATGTGTTGCCAAGGATGTGTGGCTGGTGCTGTCGTCACTCGTGAATTTAGTTGGCGCCTGTGTGTCTGCTGAATACTCCGTAGCAGATTCGAGTGCTTTCCAGCTGTATAAGGACCACATGAGACGCAAAGAGGTTTAAATGTAGACGGGGACGAGTCTGAGAGTGAGACGTGTAGTTTGGGTCTGATCGAGTAGTTGTAGACGTATAGTTTCGGCAACAAGCACCAGAGCCAGTGAAGCAACACATGATCTGAGATAAAAGAAATTGATCAGAGAAATTAAATATCCAGAGAATGTGACAGAAAGAGGGAGACACAATGACACTCATTAGGCTGTATAATGAGGTAGTGTACATCCGTTATATTATATTCCTCTATTAGGCTTGTGTTGTACATTGTGGAGAGCGTTTAAGGTTGAACATTTGTGGAGAGAGAGACGTTACCAGCTTAACATTTGTGGAGTGTTCCATTACCTACTAAATAAATGTGGCGTGTGTCATTTCCTGCTGAACAGTTGTGAAGTGTGCCATTAAGTACTGAAGTGTTGTGAAGTGTGCCATTAAATACTGAACAGTTGTGAAGTGTGCCATTAAATACTGAACAGTTGTGAAGTGTGCCATTAGCTACCGAACAGTTGTGAAGTGTGTCGTAAACTACTGAACAGTTGTGAAGTGTGCCATTAACTACTGAACAGTTGTGAAGTGTGCCATTATCTAATGAACAGTTGTGAAGTGTGCCATTAACTACTGAACAGTTGTGAAGTGTGCCATTAGCTACCGAACAGTTGTGAAGTGCCATTATCTACTGAACAGTTGTGAAGTGCCATTAAATACTGAACAGTTGTGATGTGTGACATTGCCTACTGAACAGTTAAGTTACGTTGCCTTATGAACAGTCGTGAAGTGTGAAATTATCTATTGAACAATTCTGAAGTGTGCCATTACTGAACAGTTATGAAGTGTGCCATTATCTACTGAACAGTTGTGAAATGTGCCATTATCTACTGAACAGTTGTGAAGTGTGCCGTTATCTACTGAACAGTTGTGAAGTGTGCCATTATCTATTGAACAATTCTGAAGTGTGCCATTACTGAACAGTTGTGAACCATACCCCCGGCCGGGATTGAACCCGCGGTCATAGTCTCAAAACTCCAGCCCGTCGCGTTAGCCACTAGACCAGCTAGCCACAATAAGATTCATCCAACTAGGTATATTTCTACACCATAGGAAAGTTAGCACAGGCACCTCTGTGACCACAAATGCAAGTTTTTACAGACGAATCTCCAGCTAGCGTGGCCGTGAACAGTTGTGAAGTGTGCCATTATCTACTGAACAGTTGTGAAGTGTGCCATTATCTACTGAACAGTTGTGAAGTGTGCCGTTATCTACTGAACAGTTGTGAAGTGTGCCATTATCTATTGAACAATTGTGAAATGTGACGCTACCTACTGAACATCTGTGAAGTGTGACGTTACCTACTGAACATCTGTGAAGTGTGACGTCACCCACTGAACATCTGTGAAATGTGACGTTACCTACTGAACATCTGTGATGTGTGACGTTACCTACTGAACATCTGTGATGTGTGACGTTACCTACTGAACATTGTGATGTGTGACGTTACTTACTGAACATCTGTGAAGTGTGACGTTATCTACTGAACATCTGTGAAGTGTGACGTTACCTACTGAACATCTGTGAAGTGTGACGCTACTTACTGAACATCTGTGAAGTGTGACGTTACCTACTGAACATCTGTGAAGTGTGACGTTACCTACTGAACATCTGTGAAGTGTGATATTACCTACTGAACATCTGTGAAGTGTGACGTTACTTACTGAACATCTGTGAAGTGTGACGTTACCTACTGAACATCTGTGAAGTGTGACGTTACCTACTGAACATCTGTGAAGTGTGACGTCACCCACTGAACATCTGTGAAGTGTTACGTTACCTACTGAACATCTGTGAAGTGTGACGTTACCTACTGAACATCTGTGAAGTGTGACGTTACCTACTGAACATCTGTGAAGTGTGACGTTACCTACTGAACATCTGTGAAGTGTGACGTTACCTACTGCACATCTGTGAAGTGTGACGTTACCTACTGAACATCTGTGAAGTATGACGTTACCTACTGAACATCTGTGAAGTGTGACGTTACCTACTGAACATCTGTGAAGTGTGACGTTACCTACTGAACATCTGTGAAGTGTGACGTTACCTACTGAACATCTGTGAAGTGTGACGTTACCTACTGAACATCTGTGAAGTGTGACGTTACCTACTGAACATCTGTGAAGTGTGACGTTACCTACTGAATATCTGTGAAGTGTGACGTTACCCACTGAACATTTGTGAAGTGTGACGTTACCTACTGAATATCTGTGAAGTGTGACGTTACCCACTGAACATCTGTGAAGTGTGACGTTACCTACTGAACATCTGTGAAGTGTGACGTTACCTACTGAACATCTGTGAAGTGTGACGTTACCTACTGAACATCTGTGAAGTGTGACGTTACCTACTGAACATCTGTGAAGTGTGACGTTACCTACTGAACATCTGTGAAGTGACGTTACCTACTGAACATCTGTGAAGTGTGACGTTACCTACTGAATATCTGTGAAGTGTGACGTTACCCACTGAACATCTGTGAAGTGTGACATTACCTACTGAATATCTGTGAAGTGTGACGTTACCTACTGAACATCTGTGAAGTGTGATATTACCTACTGAACATCTGTGAAGTGTGACGTTACCCACTGAACATCTGTGAAGTGTGACGTTACCTACTGAAATCTGTGAAGTGTGACGTTACCACTGAACATTCTGTGAAGTGTGACGTTACCTACTGAACATCTGTGAAGTGTGACGTTACCTACTGAACATCTGTGAAGTGTGACGTTACCTACTGAACATCTGTGAAGTGTGACGTTACCGGTGTCCGAAAAAAGTCACAGGAAGTCACATTTTATTTAAATACCATGAATATATTAAAGTAATATACAAATAAATTTTAAGTCAGTACTGGCAGTACAGGAACTTTATACACAGTCATTAACATAACCACTTAAAAAACACCTATTTTTTTAAGGGGTAACCGAGCAGGAAGGCCTCGCCAGATGACCAGAAAGCTCCATCTGTGGGTCATCATATGACTAAGACCCGCGTCAAGAAACACTTGCCTGTTTCCTGGCAAACATTATACATACCAACTTGTACACATTGACAACACAATTTATAAATGTAGGCATTAGACATAGGTACAAAACATCATGTTTTATTAAATTTCTTAAGTAAAGTGATTCATTGAAATAAAAACATTTATATCAGCCATTTATTGACAATAGATGCCATGTAGAGGTTGAAAACATCTTGTATAATATAATTACATGTATATTCAGTGTTAGGTTTCCATTGTTACTTTTTCTTCTGTGACTTTTTTCCTGTGACTTTTTTGTGACTTTCCTGTGGCTTGTTTTCCTGTATCTGACATTACCTACCATACCCCCGGCTGGGATTGAACCCGCGGTCATAGAGTCTCAAAACTCCAGCCCGTCGCGTTAGCCACTAGACCAGCTAGCCACAATAAGATTCATCCAACTAGGTATATTTCTACACCATAGGAAGGTTAGCACAGGCACCTCTGTGACCACAAATGCAAGTTTTTACAGACGAATCTCCAGCTAGCGTGGCCGTGACGAACTCTAGCTCAAGTCCCTTCACTGCCGTCAACATGACATTACCTACTGAACAGTGACTGATAATTATCGGTGAACGCTCTAAATTTTGTTTATAAACTTCGTGTATTCTCTCGTCTATAAACTTTGTGCATCCTCTCGTGTATAAACGTTGTATATTCTTTTGCCTATAAATTCACTATTCTTTCCTCCAAAAAGTGACTGAGTTTCAGCAAGCCTCTCTACACACATATACACAATATGAAATACTGAGAGTACGTATTTATCAGTTCTGATAAAAGGGATTTGTAGACTGACCGGATGCCTCCAACTAGATAGATTTACACTAAAGGTTTATTCAAATATTATGAAGACGCAGCTACGATTTTCGCAGATATATAATTCGCGAAGGATGTGACTCGCTATATGGATACAGTAGTCTATTTCAGTATCTTATGTGTTTGAGTACCGTGTTCTGTTTCAGTACATTCTCTTTGTATTCAGTGGTCTATTTTAATATACCCTCTGTTTAGATGCAGTGGTCTATTTTAGCGCATTCTGTTTAGATGCATTGGTCTATTTCAATATTTTCTTGGTGTGGAACCAGTGGTCTATTCATATATCAGTGTGATAGGATGCAAATGTTTGTTTTAATATCCTCTGTGTTTGAATTTAGTGGCTTATTTCGATATATCCTGCTTGGATTCGGTGGTTTATTCCAGTATTCTCAGTACTGGAGCCAGTGGTAGATTGCAGTATTCTTGTGATTGGATTCAGAGGTCTGTTTCAGTATCCTCTATGTTTGAATCTGGTGGTCTGTTTTATAATCTGTTTTTAAGCCGTGGTCTATTGCAATATCCTCTGTGTTGGGCGCTTGTGGTCTGTTATAGTATTCTCTGTTTTGGAGTCTATTAATTTATTTCAAAATCTTCTGTTGGGCTATAGTGATCTGTTACAATATCCTGTGTTTGGATGCAGTAGTCTGTTACAATATCATGTGTTGGGTTCTAGTAGTCTGTTGCAATATTCTATGGTGGAC